TCAGTCAGACTCACTGGCACTCAGCTTCCAGCCTCTTTCCTGAATTTTATCAGTGGCATGTATAGTAAATTTGGGTCAATCACAAAAGATGAGGCCCCAGCACAATGACGACTCACAAACACATGAAGCATTCCATATGTTTTAAGATATTTTGTAAACTCTAGGCAACCACTACAACATTTTTTAAAGAGGCATCACTCATAAACCAATATGGAGGTATAATTGAATCATACAAAAATATTCAATCCAGCCCTGGCCGGGTGGCTGTTAGTTGCAGGTTTGATTCCTAGTCAGAATGTGTATAGGAGGAAACCCATTGAATTTCTCTCATGCATTACGTTTCTTTCTTAAAAAAAAAAAATAATAATAATAATAAAAAATAAATAAATAAATAAATAAAAAAAAATAAAAAATAAAAAAAAAAACCAGTTTGTGTACAGGAGGCAGCCAACCAATGATTCTCTCTTTTCGTTGATGTTTCTATCTCTTCCTCTCTAAAACCAAGGCCCCTCTACCAGCTCAAGGAGATATAGCAGCTCTAACCCAGTACACAGCAACAAACACAGGGGAGCAGCCAAAATGCCGACAAAGGAACATGTCATGTTTCCTACACCATTGTCTTGACTTGAAGCCTGATTCGTAGGTAAATGCGATAGTCTGAACTGCTCACATCAAAAATTACAACTAAGCTACTGAGCAGTAATCATTCAAAACACCTGGAATCTAACTGAGCCACGTCCTACAACTAAGGATATAAAGAAGCCACATCCAGACTGTAGGAGACGAAGACATGGAATGGGCTGCTCCCACACCCTCGAATGATGGATAAAAATTGGGATATCTCTGTTGCAGAGGTCCTCTCCCCCAAGAACAAGGTCCCTCCGCCCAGGGTTCCAGCAGAGATAGTGGCTGAGTGAAAGGTAGGGCTGCTGGAGTCCCAGGGCCAACACACAGACTTACTTGGACTCTGGCTCTGAGCGGCAGCGTTGAGGCAGCAGCTGGAAAGACACCAGGGATACAGGGGAGGAAGTGTCTGGCACCAGGGTGAGAGCTAGAGGGACAGATTTCTCCCAGAAATGCTGTGGAGGCTAGCGTTCCTTTTCTGGGACACCTCCCCCAGGCACGCATGGAGCCAGCCGGCAGGTGCCATAAATTAGTCGCCATCAACCCCGCCCTGGTATTCCGAGACCCCGCCCCACCCAACTTGCAGGCTCACCCAAGCTATTTCCAGGCTTTTCCATACGAACGGTCTGTCTTGGCTCGTACTTCAGACTTTCCTAAAATCTCTCAAACAAACAGCACCTGGCCTCAGTATGCCCCATGCCTCTTGCTAAGTGACCCTAGGGCCTAGGCCCACCACCAGCAGCAGCCAGCCTTGGTTCACAGCTTGGCCTCTGCTGGGCACCTCCAAGCCCAGCACAAAGTAGGAGCATGGGCAGATCGCTTTGCAGCTCATGCTGGGTGGCCCAGGCAGGGCACAGAGGTGGCTGAACTTGGCACACTCCCGGGAGGCCCCAGAGCCAGTGGATAAAATAAGCATGTGAAAATGTGCCTCTTGTAAAAGGCCAAACTTTGCCATTAGTAATTTAAACAAAAATATAATCTAGCATTCAATTTAATCAAATGATTTCTAATAATTGATAGACTGAAAACAAACATGGGGACAAACATTTTTTAGTCTGGTTTAAAAAATAAATTCAAGCAATTTGAATTAGCCTTGCCACAGGTCTGCAGAATCAATCTTTTTATAGTAAGTGCTGTATGTAAACAAATAATAAGATGACATTACAATACAACTTTGTAAACAGGCAATACTTATTTAATAAGTACAATATATACATAAATTCTCTTGAAAAGCTTAATTTTATACAGACATATTTACAAAATGAACAGTGTAATCAAATTAGAGATTATCTGTACAATACACACAATATACATCTATATCTATCTATCTATCTATATATATATCTATATATATATGAACTTTGGAAGATAAGCAAGTTTCATCATCGTAGTCTAAATGGACAGCAATATTACATTTAAAAAAAAAAGATTTCATTCCAGAAGAAAAATACAATTTCAATATACAATTATATTTTTCATTTATTGTCCTGAAAATTCTTGATGTTTGGATACATTTTTTCAATTATTTTCTCTTCTTCAGCCTTGAACAGTTTTTAGGTTCCTAGTGCCACCAACTGGTGTTAAAAATTAATAATCTTAATGTCAAAAAAAGAATTGTTTTGTTTAAAAAAAAGTTATTGAAAAATAAGCTACTGGAGTCAACATTCATAAGGCAAATTAACGACACTGAATAACAACATATTGATAAAAATATTTTCACCATGGTAGTATAGATAACATTCACAACATTTAATGGTTTCTAATTTTATTCCCCTACTGGTAAATATTAGTCTAAATTTACATGTAAAAATCTTTAGAAAATAATACAGTGCAAAACAAAGTTTGGAAACACACATGACTGCATGATTAGACAATCTTTATAAGCATCAAGTAGGCATTACTAATTTACTAAAATGGCAAAAATCGAATGACACTTTATGATCTTTGGATTTTTTTTTCCTTTTTCTTATGGAATAATTAATCATCAAACTGTGACAAAAGTGTGGAAATGTATATAACTACCAAAGAAACAGCATCCTGCTGTCGTGTACCTCAGTAAGGATTCATTTCCCAAAGATGAGTGTCAGATTGAGATTTCTGGGTCACCTACTTACACAGGCGGACTGACCCTCTTCCCACGGGTCCAGTGGGAGTGGCAGAGGCTCAAAGCTGCCTGTTTCCACCGGGGTGTGTTCGAGGACCATCCCTCTGGGAGGAGGGGGGCTACTTTCTCTGGCCTGTTCACCAATATCATCACAGTACCTAGTATGGCGCCAGGCAACAGGTTTTCAATAAACACGTTTATTAAATGAATAAATAACATGGTAAGTAGGTAAAATTTAATTTCAAGGGAAGTCTATTTAAATGGTGATGAAGAAAGTTAAAAAGGAAACAACAAAGTTCAAGCTCGTTATACTGCTCAAACACACTATTTGCAATCCTTGAAACTTAACACACTGAAGTTTGGAGGGGTATGGGGAAAAAGGGAGTCACAGTAAACATTCACTTTAAAACTGAAAACTGGTGGAGTGCATACATACACACACACAGACACAAAATCATTTCCTGCCTTGGATGTGTACAATTCATAATGAACATACAAAAAAAATGCCCCCCCCCCAGATCTGAGGTTTATCCAGACCATTTTCCTTGTCTGGGTACCCTATTCTTCTCTCCATATATTCAACACAGTAAGGGGAGAAGGCCCTCTAAGTTAGAAGCTACATGTGAATCAGTGTAGAGATAGCGATCTGACATATGCACAATTTTGTACATTTTGCTCAGTTCTGACCCACATGAAAAGGACGCAGTAAAAACTAAAGAACAAAAGGCAAGTATTTTCTTCACAAGTTTTCCATGGTTTTTTAAATTTATGGGGGAAAGAAACAATAAGTCGAAATATGGTTTACAATAGCTTTTCTTCTATTATTGTTTCAAATTTAAACTTCTCCAAATGAATGGTGACACAAATGTCAATATTGGAGTGTTTCAATTTTGTATGTAATAAATGTGTGTGTGTATATATATATATATATATATATATATATATATATATATATATACACTTTTTTTTTTAAGGATGTACAGACATAGGGATCACTATTTGGTCTCCAGTAATACATTTTGTGTCTTAGAAGAAAATAAATATTGTAGTGTTTGAATTCATATCACATAAAAAGCCGTAAAAATTTAGTTACCTTCGCTACTCTAAGTAGTCTTTGGGGGTATCAACTATATGTCTAGAAGCAAATGGGAAAATAATTCCAATTTGATTGCACTTACCCTCTTTTTCTGCTAAATTACTATTGGTAAAAAGAACAAGACACATTATTGTAAGACTAATACTTTTTAACAGCTATTTTAAAAATAAAATGTTTTAAAACTTGTATTTCCATTTTGAAGTAAAAACATTTTGTTTTGGGATGACAATACATAACTCAATATACCAAAAAAAATAATATAATGAATCATCTAATCTTCAGTAAATTATCTTTTTAAACAATGATGACTGAAAAAAATATTAAAACCCATGAAAGGCATATTGCCACCACGAGTCCAACTTTGAGAGCAATACAATTGTTGAAAGGCTTTTAATCTATCATCCCAAACCTTACTTAAGGGGAGAAAAAGGAATGCAAATATCCAAAACAAGAATGAGGCTTTCTGCAAGACAAAATATAAACCACAAACAGAAATTATAACAGATGAGAAATTATAAGAAGCAAGAAAAATTCAATGACATAGAAATACTGACACTACAACTTGCAACATTCAAGTTGCCACAATGCAAATAAATATTGTAAAAATCCAATAGGTACATAAATTTGGCTCTAAAATTCCTTTGGTTACAAAGAAGTAATTGTTTTGTGTTTTAAATAAATACACTGAAACGCCTCATATGTGGGGATTGTAGGATCACTCCACTGTAACATGTAAGTATACCAACAGTGAAGAACGGGAGCTCAAACAGTACAGAATGGTGCATTCCCTCGGGAACAGAATCTTCATAAGTATTTTAAACGTTTATCTTTGCATTCGATATTAGTAAAACTCAAGTATTTCGGTTCCAAAGAATTCACTATTCATCTCTCTGTTTTAATAACTAGTCAATTTCACATTTTAAAAAATAATTGAAGTCCACAGGAATTTACTAAATGAGCATGTTATTTTAAATCATATTTTATGTAACTGAAGATTTAAAAACCTCAACTAAGAATTCAAACTATTTGAATCTGAAAAAAATGTACCTAGCCCAGATAAGGTACATGCCTGATCATGGGCCAATTACCACAAGCTAGCTTTCCTATTGGCTTCCATTAAAATTAAAAGATTTAAGGATCACTGGTACCCTTCCCTAAAACACAACCATTTTCATATTGGAATGTCAAGGCAAAATTTTTTATTTTTTATTTTTCTTTAAGTTAGGAAAATAGCATATTACTGGTACTTTCATGCGTACTTTTAAAAAGCTGGATCGTTTTTGACATTATGTGTTTTAAAGGGGAAAAATGGAGAAGGGGTTTTCAAAAGCCCTTGTAATGCTGATCATTTCAATGATTCTTAGCAAATGAAACTAGGCTGTTTTGGTTCTATGGCGGGCTGTCACCACATGAAAACAAATTCCATCAAGTCTACACTCTTACAGGCCACACCGCAGTGCACTCCTAAGGGAAAGGATACTGTCTATCAGGTGAAACAATCATTCTTTACTGGCTGACACAGCAGAGGATGGTTCCGACGACGGGCAGTGACCTGCTCCTCGTGTGGTGGTGGTTCTTCACTGAGCAGCAGCTTCGGGTTAGGTTTTCTTCGTCCTCTGTTCTAGTTCATGCTGGTGTTTAATAAGACGTTCTATTTCTGTCCCAAGTGTTTGTAGGTTTTCCTTTAGCCATTTGAAAAAAGAGCAAAATAAGAACAGATCTACTAAGTATAATAAGTAAAAAGGGTTCCACTTGAACTCCCTTTGTCTAAATTTTGAAGAGTGATGATTAGTCTTATAGGTTATGTGAGATAAACTAGACACAGCTATTTTCAGCAAAGTAGTCCTATATATTACAAAGACATACTTATTTGTTTTTTTACTGAAGCTATAGCAAATTGTTCTAGGTACATAAAATTATTTCCAAAGTTAAAAAATAATTTTTGAAATCCACTAACTATCCAAGAGCTAAACTGGCTCATCAACAGACAAGTGGATAAAAAAAAACAACAACTGTGGTACATAAATGCAATGGGATATTACTCAGCCATAAAAAAGAATGAAATCTTACCATTAGGAACAGCATGTCGCTAGAGCAGTGGTCGCCAACCGGTGGTCCTCGGACCACTGGTGGTCTGTGAAGTCCGAAAGGTTGGCGACCACTGACCTAGAGGGTATTATGCTAAGTGAAATAAGTCAGACAGAGAAAGACAAATACCATAGGATTTCACTTATATGTGGAATCTCATGAAAAAAATAAATGAACAAAACTGAAGCAGACTCATAGAAACAGAGAACAGACTGAATGATGGGTTTAGCGGGGAGGGCTAGGTCAAAAAGGGAAAGGGATTAAGAGTACAGACTGGTAGTTTTAAGACAGTCATGGGGATGTAAAGTACAGCATAGGGAATATAGTCAATAATATTGCAATACTTATGTATGGTGCCAGGTGGGTGCTGGAAATATCGGGGGGATGGGGGGGAGGGCACTTTATAAAGTATATAACTGTCTAACCACTATGCTGTACATTGAAACTAATATAAAATAATACTGAATGTAAACTATAATTGATAAATAAAAATACAGCTAAACTGATTTTTTACTCTTTCTTTCATTGCTATGTTAAAAAACTCTACTTTTCAGAAAGAGAACAACACACTCATTTTATCTCTGGGTAAAATGCTGTCTTGCATTACAGAAATAGTCCACTATGTACTGGATCAAACTACAAAACAGGCACCATTTTGCCATGTTTACTGGTGGGTAAGTGAACGAGAAATATAAATACCTTCAAAGTAATATTTTTTAGTAACGTATCTTCCAAAACAGCCTGCAATTTCCGGTTGATCTCCAGAGAGAGTTCCAACGTCAGTCCACTATCAGCAGGATGGGATGTGTACAGAGACGCCATGATGCCTCCCCGTCTACTTAGGTGGACTTTGTTAAAATCAGATGCCTCTGAAGAAAGGGTGCCTGCCTCTTCCCGTAAAATGTAACTCTGAATGATTCTGCAAAATACAATCGCACCATCAGTTATGTGCCTGCAGAATTAAAAATGCTGGAATTTGCAAGAGTCAACTAATCATAAGTATCAAGATGACTAGCATAAATACCTACAAGGTTAATAACAGAACTATATTGGGAAAGAAAGGAGTTTTCCTTATTGAGCTGCCTTCCTAAAGACATTTAAACAATGCTTTTCCATTTCTTTCCTTATTACTTGAATAAAAGTATTTGAGCAGTTTTTTGTTCCTATTTCAGTTCATATTTTCAATTTTCCTGTTAAGCTTAAAACTGTATTTTACTCTTTTTCTTTTCAAAGTTATGGGCAAACTTTTCTCTAAGTCTAAAATTATTTCAAAATAAACATGAGAAAATCGTGCTGACAGACTGCACTATCAAAGCCCTGAAAGGAGCATGGTGTTTGTGAGGGGCCTGGTGCAGCACCGTCCTGGAGTGTCAACACGGGATGTGACTCTCCACTCTGGGGCCGTCACTTCCAGGGTGAGTGCGAATCTGGAACAGTTAGTAATTTGACCTGAGCCCCAGTGACTTATCTGCCAAATTAGAGAACTTATTTTCTCCGAGTAGATGTAAGAAATCAATGAGCTATCAAGTCAACAGGCATCGTGCCTTGTACTTAGTAGTTGCCCAATACATTACTCCACTATGTTCTACCCAGTGGGAAAGATAATTCAAAACACTATAAAGCTCTTAGAATCAGTCATAAAAATAAAAACCTAAGTAGAGCACTTTAAGTCCAAAGTTATTTTAATATATCAAAAAAATTAATGTCAATTGGTCACCAGCATGAACAACACAATAATTATCCGGGCCGGGAAGTTCATAACCAACAGATGACTTCAATGGAAACAAGTGGTCACTGACATCCTTCACGCTGGGAAAGCAACAGTACCTTAGACAGAAATTTGGGAAAAACTAGCCAGATTGTGTAAGACCACAGCGGATGTCACCTTTGTGTTGGGATTTAGAACCCTTTCTGGTAGTGCCGAGACAATTAGTGATGGCATAATTTATGATTCCTTGGGTTACCCAAAAAAAAAAGAACCCAAACACAGACTTTCAAGACATGGCCTGCATGAGAAGACCTCAAAAACATAGAGAAAGACACAAGAACAGGCAGAAGAACATCCAGGGAACTCAAAGGCCAACGTTGGTGCTGAAGAAAGTAAGAGGAGGTGGGACAACAAGAGGAGGTGCTGGACAACAGAGCCGGGGGCAGATTTTTCACAAAAGGGTTAATACACTAAGAACTAATGTGTACTGAAATCCATTATCCCCTTAAAGGAAAGATCTGTGTTTTCCTTAATCTCTGTATTCCTAAACCTAGAACACAATAAGTGATTAATAAAAGATTTCTAAGTGAATGACTATAATTATTTTTTAAAAGATAGGATCTTGGTGTGATTAATTAAAAAACAGTAAGTTAACCATCTGAATAATGGTATTTTAAACACAAAATATGTGACCATAATAATAATACATACTTTGTTTTTTTCCTAATTTCTTCCACCAATTGCTTGATGTGATCCTCCATAAATTCTATCTTTTCATGCTTCCGGGCATGTGCTTTCTGCAGCCTTACTATCCTCTCAATCAGCATGGCCTTGTCTACTTCTGGGAAGTTATCCACAGCTATCGACGACCCGGTATTTTCCGGAGATCGATCTTCTGCGCTGCTTCGAGCATTAATGGACCCTGAAGAGAAAAAATAGTTTAGGTATTATATCTGGTTTAAAGTCATCTCTAATCTCAGATTGTTTCTTCTATAATGACTTTCAAATCAACTCTAACAGAGTTGGGCACAGGACCCAACACAAGTCATACCTGGTTTGAGTTCTTATTTCTGAACATACTGATGATAGAAGTACAAAAAGATCTACTACCGTATTTTCCGGCGTATAAGATGACCGCCCTAATTTTACAGTTAAAACATATGTTTAGGCCTATATTTGCTGTATAAGACTACCCCCCCCCCCCCCCACTTCCGACACCAGTTCTTTTTTTTTAATAGACCGCGCCTCTCTGACTCTGGCCAATCTGAGCAGAATTTTTTTCGTTTCAAAAGTCGTCTTATACGCCGGAAAATAGGGTATGTCTTTCAGGAATAGGAAGTCAGAAATAACAAGTCTGAAGTAAGACCAAAATCAAACCAAGAAAAAGAGACAGACAGGGAGAGTAGAATACAGCCATGTGGGCTAAGCTTAGTCAGCTCAGCTCAGGAGCCTGGCCTCCCTTGGTTCAAATCCCACGTTCCAGCTGTGAGACTTGGGCTGTGCCATGGTCACTTCATCTTAAAATGAGATCAACAACATTATTCACTTCACAGGATTATTATCCTCATTTAAGTGAGTTAATACATGTGAAGTGCTTGCAACAATGCATATATGTAGTGAGCTCTAAGTGAATGCTAGTTATTATTTTTATCGATATTAGCTGTAAATAATTTTTGATCTTTTTAGCTACAAAGTTAAGCTCTCCCCCCCCACCCACCATTCTATAGATTTTAGACAGGTAATGTATTGTATCTTACCCAACATCATACGTTAATAAATGGCAGAGCTGGGACCTAAATACCTATGTGTAATTTCAAATCCACATTTCTTCTGCTACACCGTTTCCCATTATCGTACGTATAGATGGCATTTTCTCCCCTAATATGCAACTCCTGGAGCAGTGCAGTCTTTAGAATCTGAGCACTCAGTCACTGAGGATTTGGGGTGAGTCATGGAAACACACTTTAAAGTGGGAACTGTAACATGACTTTTGCAGAGTAAATGATATACTTAAAGCATTGAGCATGGTTCCTGGCATTCCAAAATTGATAAACACATTGATATTTTGCTAATTACCATTTTCACAATGTTACCAATCATACTTTCATAGACTCTATTCATTTCTGTTGTACTATAAGCATATTTACCATGAGAAATTATAATATTTTAAAAACACATGTGTGTAAATACATTTAAATATCTGATATATAACAATGGTCACTTCAGTAGTTCTCAGGTATTAAAAGTAATATAAAAGTATAAAAAGAGACCACAATACAGCAAATCTCTCTGTAGGGATGGATACAAATTGAATTTAAGAATGGAAGAGGAAGTTGTTACACAGAATAGAGACAAAGTAGGTAAGAAAAAAGAAGGTAGAGGAATAGATGATAAAGAACCATGTGACATACACCTGAAACTAATATAATGTTGTATGTCATCTATACTTTTAACTAATAAGAGCTTTACATTCCAGAACTGGGAGTGGGAGGTGGGGTGGGGGGAAAGAACCACATGGCAAACTTGAAACCCTGGATAATGGAAATATTGCTTATAATATGTACAACTGCCACTTTTTAAAATTCAAAATGAAAGAAAAATGTTTCAATACCTTTTAAAACAAAATATGCTATTCCTTTTTATAATCAATCACAAAACACTAACACCGTTCGTTCTTTACCTGATGAACTAGAACGACTTCCCATGCTGCTGACTTCTTTGTCGTAGCCTCCGTTCTCCACCTGATCCAACTTTCTTCGAGCTGGAGAAGAAAGAAACGGGTTATTGTGACAATTATCGTGATCATTTATTTGCTCCTACTACCTCTGATTTTTATTGCTAAACTCACTCAGGCCAGGAGGGCCAAAGGTGTCATTTATACAAAATGACACCTAGAAATGCACAGGTCAAATACAACATATATAGAAACATTATGATGACAACTGATACTGGCTGGCATCACTTACGAACACTGAGCATAACTTCTGGAGTCCTGAAAGATGTAGGGTATCAGAAATTTCCCCCAAATTTCACTTCAATGATATCTATAAAAACGAACTGACTTCTCAAGGCAAATAGCTGAATACATTTATATTATGTAAATGCTAAATCTTTTGTTACTATGTTTAATCCTGTTTTGACACAAATAAAGCAGAGGGAAATATAAAGAATAGGAAGTCAGAATGTATACCTTATTCATCTTTGTACCAAGCGCAGGGCACACACTCCCAAAAGTTGTATGAATTTTAAATGAAAGAAATCTGAATTCCAGCTCTGCCTATCAATCACTGTGTTTGGTTAACCTATAAGCTTTCTGGGTCTCAATTCCCTGTACAATGAAAGGTTACGTCTCACCGATCTCTAAGTTAGAAGTCTACTATATAGGATGCAAGCTCGAAAGATGCTGCACAAAACAATTCATACACAAGTGTAGGGAGAAAATTTTAGAACTGCTATTAATACTTATATTTAATCTGACCCTTTAAAATTTCTATTTTTATTATTGTCTAATATGCATTGGTAACATTCTAATATACATCAAATAGAATAACACATGTTTAAAATTTATAAATATATATAAATTAGAGAACAAGTGCTGAAGTCATTTTTACTAGGGGTATGTGATCAAAAATATTTCGACATTACTGCCTTAAGTTCCATGAACAAATATCCTTTAGCATAGAAGATGCTACAAACTATTCATGTAACTGCAAGAAGTTTAGCAATTTGGTTTATGAACAATAGTACATTAGAAAGAACGTAAGGCTCTAATCAATGTGATAGAACCTGAAGTGAAAAGTATTTTTTTCTATAAATCCTAAAGATGAGAAGAAACAAAAACATTCCAGGTCTAAGTGTGGAAGAATGTCTTACCTTGCTGAAGTTGTTTGGTAAGATCCTTGACACTAGAGGCATGCTTACGTCTTTGAGTTACTAAATCATCTTTTAATTCTTCAACTTGGGTACTCAATGCTTTAACTTCTGTTTGTTTACAAGTGAGTTCAGCTTGCAGGGTCTGGACTTCCTCTTTTCGCAATTCTTCCTCTTTCAACAATCTACTTTCCTAAATGTTAAATTAAGATAAAAAAAAACAAATACCAATTTTTATAGGTGGCTTGTATGTTTCCATTATCTCACAGTTTAAAACATCAAAATACATCTTTGATAGTAGATTCTTCTATCATCACTCCTTACCAGGTTTTGTTTACTGAGCTCAAATTCTTCACATAGCAATCCGGGGGTACATTACTACATCTACCAGTTTACACATGCAAAAAAAAACATGTAGTACATGTCTCTGGATTTTTTAACTAAAATCTCAAATTATTTTTATAAATAACTTGAAGGCACTCTCATAACTCGGAAATATTAAACCATTTTTAAAGTACAAAAATGTAAAAATTTTAAAAAGATATAGTAATTCCAGCCCAAGCTGGTTTGGCTCAGTGGATAGAGTGGCCTGTGGACTGAAGGGTCCCAGGTTTGATTTTGGTCAAGGGCACGTATCTTGGTTACAGGCTCCTGGCCCTGGTCTTGGTTGCAGGCTCCTGGCCCTGGTCTGGGGCAACCAATCAATGTATCTCTCCCACATCAATGTCTCTCTCTCTGTTCCTCTCTCTCAATTCCATTCTAAAAATCAATGGGAAAATATCCTTGGGTGAAGATTAAAATAAATAAATAAAAAGATACAGTAATTCTAGTTAGAAGGTCAAAACCCCTGATTTTCTTATTTTCAAAAGTGAAATAAATCAACCATTTCAAGGAAATTTTTTATGATAAGCTACCTAAGTTGAAAGGAAAACCAACATTCCTCACAGCATTTGAAAAATTTGTAAGAAAGTCAGTGCCAATAAAAAAGAGCTTAGATCAACTACAGTAGGTTTATGCTAGAGGGAAATCGATTAGTGCGTCTCGCTATGTTGCTTTAAATGGTGGATGTACAATTATACTTACCAAGCTGGTGTTTGCCTGTTTCATTTGCTCACACTGGCTTTGTAACTGACTTTCACTACAGGAAAGCTTGTCACACTGGGACTGTAAGGAATTGCATTCAGACTGAAGTTGTGCGTTCTTACTAGTAAGTTTTTCTGTAAACAGCAGTAGCTCAGATTCTCTTTTCCTACTGCCTTCGATGTCTTTTTGTAGATCATTAATCAAAGAATTAAGACTTTCCACTTCTTCCTTCAAATTCTCAATTTCTTGTTTACCTCTAAAAAACAAAGTTTATATTTAAGAAAAAATAAATAACCATTGAAAAACATTAAATTAATGGTTTGGGAATTTTCACAGAAGAAAATGCTTTCTAAAGGTACTTTTACTTGTGAAACATACTGGGAACTAAGAGCTAGGAATACGAGGGAGGGAGGAAGGGAGGGAGGGAGGGAGGGAGGGAGGGAGGGAGGGAGGGAGGGAAGAAGGAAGGAGTTTAGTTGTATCAATACTGAAAACTCAAGCCACACTTAGCCTGAGGAAGTGTCTACTAGATTTAAGGAGGCATAGCAGTTTTTAATGGAATGTTGGAATAGAAGCTTGGACGAGTGGAGAGGGTTAGAAGAACAAAGAAGTAAATGAAGGCCAGGCAGAGATGACCCTATAAAGATGTGTGGCTGTGAAGGAAAGGAGAAAGGGAGGAGAAGGTCACTGGAGCTTGATGTTTGTAAGATATAATAATATTTACATGTAGAAAGAAAACAGTTAGTAGAAAGATAGCGGTAAGAGAAAAGGATAAAGAAAGAATAATCAACAAAGACCCTGAGAAGGCAGGAACATATGGGACCCACAAATGAAGTGGAGAACAATTCCATTCAGAGAGGAACAGGAACATTTCTTCCCTAACAGAAGGAAAAGAAGGAAGAATGGTTGTAGATGCAGGTAAGTTCAAAGGACGAATAGCAAGAGGTTTTGAACTTGTCAACTGATAGCTCCCATTTCTTCTGTGCAGTCAGAGTAAACAGTAAGGGGAGAAGGAAGATGAGCATGTGAAGAAAGCCGTAGGTTTAGAAGAGATGCGGAGAAGATGGGGGAGAAGGCTCTAAGGACATGATAGGGTTTGAGGTGCATTAATATTCCCAGGTGAGGCTGCTAACCATGAGTTTATAGCAGTGTAACTCTGGAGAACGGTGAGGTTTCTTTAGGAAGACTCAGCAGCCTGGGTATGAGAAGTATCTGGATTTAACCTGAATCCATGCTCTGCCAGGTAATTTCATGAGTAGTTTAGCTACAGGGTTTATAAGAAGCCAAGGAATAACTTCAGATCCTGACCTCAAGCTACGTGCATACAAAGATATAGATGTATATCTACCTTGTAGGAGGAAAAGTTAACTATTGTGTGTAAGTAACACAATTTGAAAGCTAAGTAATGAATAAAGAAACGCAAATCCATTCTGTCTTATAAACTACTACTGACAATGTTCAGGAAATATAAACTTTGATTTTTTAGAAGCCATGATAGGAACTTCAAAGATAATAAAAAAAAAAAAAAAAAAAAAATCAAAGAAAGACCAAAATTTAAAAACTTTTAGCCAGTAAAATTTTCAAATTATTCTTGTTTGATGCAATAATTGCATTTAAAAATAGAAACCTGGGATAGAATCTAAAAGCCTACTGATTAGCACAAACAGAAATTGCACATTTTATACCTTTGATGTTGCTCCTGTATCTGATCTGCAATTTTCATTTTGTCCAAGAAGTTCTGAATTTCAGCTTTTTGGCGATTAATAATTTCCTTATATTTCGATAATTCATCTTCTGTTCTTAATCGTTCATCTTCTAGACATTTCACCTATCACAAATCATAACCAAGTTTAACTACAAACAATATTTTCTTGTTCCTTATTAGCTATTTCAGGTAGTGGTTAGATATGAACAACCTAAGCTGAATTCTGAAGCTGTGTTAATTAACGTGAAGAAAACATAATGGGAAGTTAACAGTCCTGGGTTTCATCTCAGATTTCCTCTGAGTTAGCTCTGGGAATTTCAGTATGTCACTTTATTTTTGCTGAATCTCCATTTCTTCACCTGAAAAGAGGACATACTTTCTCTACCTACCTCAAGGAACTGGGGTGGAGAACAAACAGAAGTGTACAGGGAAAACACTTTGAAAATTACTGTGCTTGCAAACTCAAAGTGGTTACTTAAAAGCCTATTTCTAAATAAATGAATGATATACAATGGTACTCTCACAATTACATTAAAAGGGATACTAGTCTTATTATAAAGACAATAAGCACTGCAAAGAACTTAACAGGTTGTTAAAAATTAAAACTGTATACAAGCCTATTAAATATACCTGGGAGAAATATTAAGAAACTATTCTTTTCTCATACTAACAGTTCTAAAATCCAATTAATTTACTGATAAGACTGCCCAAGAATAAGTTATAGATCCAGCAAATGTGTTAAAAAGCAGGAATGTTGGGAACTCTTCGAAGGGGGTGAAATAGAAGACATTTTCATCTCAGTAAGAGAGTCCATTTTATTGCTAGGGGATTGATATGCTACTCCTATGAGTTCTTTCATTTTGGAAAAGTCCTAAATACCCTTTCCCCAACAGTTTAAAACTCAGAATGAGTCCAAAATTAAAAAAGTTTACCCTTCGTCTGAGTCACGCCCAAAGATGTGATTACCTTTGTCCTCAGGGTCCGTAGCTCATCCATGCCCTCCTTAAACGTCCTCTTCAGGTCCTCCAGCTCCTTGATCTTGGCGTGATGCATCTTTTAGCAAGTTTAAAAGAAACCACAGGTCATTATGTACTAAACTGATCCTGCTCCTCCCAAAGGCTTTCAAAGTAGATGACAGTAAGTACTCCTTATTCCTCTCCTGTATTTATTACACAATCTAGGGTATACAAAGAACCACTCACCTCTAGCTGGTCAGATTTTTCCTGCATTTGTTTTTCAAGCTCTCCTTTTGTGACTCTGAGCTTGGCATCAAGCTCATTGGATTTAATTTCTTCTGATTCCTAGTGGAAAATAAATTTTAAAGGTACAACTTGTTAAAGTTTTATACTTTGAAAAGTGAAGAAGGCTTTTGCAATTAGGTGTGTTAAGAAATCTATAGTATAATTATCTACAAATGATGACTTCATTGAAAGATTTTAAATATGTTGATTTTGCAAGAACAAGAATTGCATACCTAACACATGTAACATAATACAGTGGGTTTTTTTTTAACTTATACATTTACAAACATGTACTCTTTATTCTTCTGACATTTTCTAGTGTTTTTATTTAGTTAATGAGATCTCTATATAAGCTACAAGTACTTTGACATCAGAAATAACCTGTTTTTTATTTAACTGACCTACCAATACATTCCACACTTCAAATATTATAGATACAAACTTTAATGAAATAATATTAATATTGACATTATTCGTTACTAATCTATTAAAAAAGTTAGCATACCTGGTATGTTTTTATCATATCCTGACAATTTTTTCGTATCTGATCTGCTTCTTCCTTTGCTTGGGTTAACTTTGTTGTTGTCTCTTTGAGTTTATCTTTGGTTTCCTGCATTGATAAAGGACAGTGACAAACATGGGCACAATCATGTGGTGAACGGTAGGAACAATGGCCAGGGCAGGGAAAGTTTTTGTCTCAGCACTGCCACTGAGGGGCCGAATAATTAAAAGCCATTTAAATAAAGTTAAATTTCATAAAGTTCTCAGCAAATCACTAGAATTTACTAATTAACCTGGTCAGACAACAAGAGCAAATATTAAATAGTTCTTTTCACACACACACACACACACACACACACACACGACAATTCTTTGGTTTATGCGGTGGTATCTATTAAAAACAGGTTTTTTTATAGATTCATGCTGCAGGTTGGTTTCTATGCCTAACCACTCTCCTGAAACAGCCATTCTGAAGGTTTGCAGGTAATACTCTCTTGTTAAATTCAATTCAATTACTTCCTTCTTCTCCTTTCTTCTTCTTCTTGACTTTGCTCCAGTTCTGACCACTCCCTACTCTTTGAACAACCTTCCTGTTTCCATTACAAGACAGTACGCCGTTTGGTCCCTCTTGATTGTGGCCTTCTCTAGTTCCTCAACTGCTTTTCTATTTCCTGCGGCAATTTCCCAAGACATATCCCTGCCCTCAGCTCTTTCTCCATACTTCTGCAGAGTACCCATCCAGTCCCAGGGGTTTGGCTATCATGTTGATTTCAAATTAAAACATCTCTTAGAGCTTCTCTTCAGAAAGGGGCAAATGCTGCTATTCTGCTTTCCCATCGATAGAATCCAGGGCATTCCTAGATTGTAACAACTGATATAGTGACCATAGCTTCTGTGTTTTCCCCATTGGAAAGCAGCTTCTGGGCGGCATCTAGCTCAGAATTTGCCCCTTATTAATGGTGCAAGTAATATTTGTTGAATTAATAAAGGAAACATAATACATAAACCTTCTGTTCTATTTAGGGTGGTCTTCCCAAATACCAATAGTTTTTCCCTTTTTTTCTTATTGTTCCTCCACTTGTAATATTTTCCCCTTCATCTATGCTTCACATACTGCTTCTTATATATCATTTGTTTTTGTATAAGTCTATCATACAATTAAGTATTTACTTATATACTTTTAGTTGATGTCAATAATAATTTGAATTGTATTAAAAGTCAGTATCACTTTTAAAAGTATTTGGAGACTTTTTCTAATATATATACCCTTTAAATGTTAGAATATTATTTCAATAAGAGGACACAGAGAGAAATTTGATCTGGTCTCCCTTCCCCCAATTTCTATGTGACCAGTAACTAAAACAGAGTTTGACACACAGGAGGTACTCACTTCATTCACTCAAAAAATAGCAATTGAGAGATTTCTATATGCCAAATAAGTATTTACTAAATAAATAAATAAAAGTGAGAATCACATTAAATGTATGTTTGTTAAGGTATTAACCATGTTTCACTCGCTGATTCATTCATTCTGTATTCACTGAGCACCTACCATGTACCAGGCACTGTACTATGCTCTGGGAAACAATGGTGTTTTAAAAAAAAAAAAAAAAAAAAAAAAAAGACAAAATCTCTACTCTCACAAGCTGATATTCTAGATGAAGGTACATAATAAATAAATACTACACAAGTGAAAATGTTGTATTAGATGGTGACAAGTACTAAGGAGTAAAAATAAAGACATGAGAAAGTCTGGGGGCAGGTGTTGAAAATTCCGAGAGGGTAGCCAGGGGAACTTTCACTGGGAATGGTGTCAGACTTGAGAGCAGTCAGCAGGATTTGCTAAGGGGCTCAATATGGTGACTGAGAACTCAAGGCTAACTCTAAGGCTCGCAATCACCAAATATGCAGGCCCAAGCTATCCTACAGGAGTCACTAAATTAAACTTTATGCCTCATTAACTATTACTGCATTTGCTCTTAAAACTGATTCTAATGATTTTTCCACTGCATCCCAGTACTCACCTTGTGCGAATCCATTTCCACTTTTAATTTGTTTTGTGCCCATTTTACTTTAATGATGTGAGAGTTGATATCTTCCTTTAGTTTTTCTATTTCTCTGATGAGTCTAGTAGCTTCACCTTCCTAAAATAATATCACTAGGTCATATTTTTTCATTTTACAATCAACCAATTATTTGTGTATGTTTATCCCACCTCAAAATAATCAATACAATAACACAATAATTCAGAAGATGGCACATTATTATGGCCTATAAACCATAAAACTGATTTAAAGTGCAAATCATAAGAGAGCAGTAAAATCCTAAATCCTGTTACAGACATAATTAATATATAATTTAACCAACTAGATATGTTGCAAGTACAGTCATACCTTTATTCTGCTCAACCACTTGGCTTTAAAGTAAAATAAGAATTAAATTGGTTTTGCCAGGATTTCTGAGACAATGACAACTTTCCTGAACTAAAAGTTAACTAATAAAAAAAAATAACATTAGCCCTAACCAGTTTGGCTCAGTGGGTAGAGCATCAGCCCGCAAACTCAAGGGTCCCAGGTTCGATTCTAGTCAAGGGCATGTATTATTACCTTGGTTGCAGGCACAGGTGCAGGAGGCAGCTGATTGATGTTTCTCTCTCATCAATGTTTCTAACTCTCTATCCCTCTCCCTTCTGCTCTGTAAAAAAATCAATAAAAATATTATTTTAAATAAATAAATAACATTAGCCTGGCCAGCATGGCTCAGTGGTTGAGCATCAACCTATGAACCAGAAAATCACAGTTCGATTCCTGGTCAGGGCACATGCCTAGGTTGCGGGCTCAATCTTCAGTGTGGGCATGCAGAAAGCAGCGATCAATGAATCTCTCTCATCACTGATGTTCTCTCTCTTTCCCTCTCCCTTCTTCTCTGAGATCAATAAAAATATATTATAAAAAATAATAACATTCATCATCAAGAAGATCAAAAAGTGATAATCCACTGGAAATGAGATCATGCAATGAGGCTGCTAGTTAACACAAGGGCTCTGAATAGCTAAGTAATTAAATCTCCTAGACAGCATCTAAGAACAATATTTGTTTATTTTGTTAATCCTCACCCAAGGACATTTTTCCATTGATTTTGAGAGAGAGTGGAAGGGATGGGTAGAGACTGAGAGAAATATTGATTGATTGCCCCCCAACTGGGGCTCAGGATCCTGTGACTGAGGTATGTGCCCTTGACCAGAGTCCAACCCGCGACCCTCAGTCTATGAGCCAATGCTCTAACCACCAAGCAAAAAACATGTTCTGGCTAGGACTAAAAACATGTTTTTTATCCCCAAAATGCAAATTCTATTCTATAATGAGTAAGTGTTACATTAGGATTCTGGTCAAATGACACTTATTAAACCATCAACACTTTGACACTACTATGTATATATATATCTTGCCAAAATCTTCCTTTGAGGCACAAACTAATTTCTTCAACATATAGTTTTAATGAAAAAGTTTAAAAAATCTTTCAAAAAAATTTTATCTAATAAAAAACCTCTGTCAATTTCTCATCTTTTCCCAGTAACATTTTCTGCACACAGGAAACAGCTGGAATTAGTAAAGCATTCATATACTTATAAGGTAAACTAAACAACTTGATGTTTAATAGTGGTTTAACCGTGGTAAGTTATGATTATCTAAGAAAAAGCAAACAGAATACATTTCAAATAAGGTACAATAGCGCAAGTTATACCTTTGTCTCATACAGCTGTTGCAAACGTCCTTTCTCTTGAGAAAGCAGCTTAATTTTGTTAGTGTTTTTCTCAGTTTCTTTATTTGCATCTCTAAGTTTTCTCTCAAGTACCTCTTTTTCCTTTCGGAGGTCTAAAGATTCTTTCTCACCTCTTACATACTTCATTATCATTGCTTCTTTTTCCTGGCGAGCCTCTTCACATTTCTTATTGGCCTTTGGGGAGGGGGGGAGGGAAAAGTATCTAGCATTAAATTTTTTAAATAAAACTAAATTTTTAAATATTATTTCTCTATAATATCACCAATGTATTTTTTTATTTTGGAACAACATTCCCAGGATCTGTGAAATTTTAAAAAGGAAAGGAAAATTTCAAAACTACAGATAAACAATAAACAAACTAATGTCACTAATATTTATTTTACCTTTTCCTATTCCTTTTACTTTGGCTGATGTGGCTGCTGTTTTCTGTTTACTCCTTTGGGTCCCCTTTCCCACTCTTTCCCATCCACCCTGTGCTTCAGCAAGATGACCTGACACTACAGCAACAAGTCTCCTTGCCTCAAATCCTAGTTGGTTCAGCTAACAGATGTCACCAGACAGAAGATCTGGAGGGTAGGCAGAGAGGGAGATCTGGCTCCTCTAGAGTCATCTCAGGTTGGTCAAAGGAGACTGCTCCGGTCAGGTGCTCTCTCTATACCACCACTGTCTCTCTGAGTTGCATGATCTGTGCCCTCTCCTATTCCTTTAGCCCAGGGGTGGGAATGTCCTGCTCTCAAGCCATATAAGGCCTGCAAAATCATCTGGTCTGGCCCTGCTGAGGCATGAGGGGCGAGTTAATTAAATGTTTGATCAAATTTAGCAGGCTAATTTTTCAGTTGATAATTTTGTATGGCCTATGAATGATGCTATAAATATCCAAACGGCTCTTGGCAGAAAAAAGGTTGCCCAGCCCTGCTTTAGCCCAAAGAGCAATAATGGCTCCACCAGCAGCCCCAGAACCCTTCACTTCCCTCGTTGGGCAGCCTAAGTCCTGCCCATACCTTTGTAAAAGTCCCTTTTATTAAGTTCTCCTCAAATCATGATCTCTGCCAGGATGCTTACTGCATGGCTAACCATTTTCTAAAAGCTATAAACTTAGCTCCCTCGCCAAAAAAATAAAAGTAACAATATATTAATTAATGATCATCTGATTTCCTATATATGAAAGCTTTCTAAAGTATTTCACATTTAATAAATACCCAAATGAATTGTTACATCTATATACTCATTTTAAATCCCCTATTATTGTAAGCTTTTACTCCAAATTCTAAAATTTTATACAAAAACTACAGATAGCTCTTCAGTTAAGTAATGCATAGTTTGCAAATATGACAGAACCTATATTCACCTAAACTTCAGAGGTTTCAATGGCAGAGGGCGGTGAGCACCCACTGATACTATAGCTAAGTTGATGATGCTATAGTGTAGGATATTGTAAGAAAAGCTCCTATGCTCTTATGAAACGTGTCTAAAAATATGTTTCCTGAAGTTCTGGTACAGCAGATAATCACATCTAATAAATACTCAAAGTATTATACAGACACATTTCCGGACCCACCCTAAATAATGGCAGCACCACTTCACTGAGCTGTTGGGAGTATTATGTCAGTCCATTTATGGGCACAGATAAAGGAAGAGGAGGTAGTAAAAGTTTTTGGATTTGACCAGTTTACCACTGACTTCAATGAAGATAAAGCATGAACAAACAGGATAATCAATAGGATTCAACAGGCAACTAAAATTATTAGGTGTATAAAACAGGGGAGAAAACAGTTATAAAAAAAGATATACAGTAAGATCTTCATCAAGTAGGGAAAAAAGTGTATGAATATGTGTAACTTCTACATGCATACATAGTAAGATATATAAAAAGTATCAATTACTAGCTGTGGACCAAGGACTGGGATATAAAGGGATTGGAGCAGGAAGGGAGAAGTACAAATGAAGATGGATTTTCATTTTTCATTCCACACTTTTCCTAATTTATTAAATTATTTGTTATAAGTAGCACATTATCTTTATAATGCTTCAACATTTTTAAAAAGTTAATTTTTATAGGGATAAAATTATCCATTCCTAAAATAACATTAATGTCTAAAATCAGCTAACCGGATTAGTTTACTTTCAAAAACAAGAGAGAATCACCAGAAAGTTAATAATGATAATGACTTGAAAAATACCTGTTCCATCCGATGGGCCATCTCTTTGTGTAACTGCTGAACTGCATTTTTAGTTGCATTATCTTGAGCTATTAGTTTATCTTTGGAAGCTTTCACTTCTTTATTAAGTTCCTCTATTTTTGATTCTAACTGTAAAGAAAATTAATTCCATATTATGTTTATAGCTGTATCAAAACAGACCATCACTACCTCAAATAAACATAAACAATATAAATAAACACAAGGAAAGCAACAAATATATATATATATATATTTTTTTAATATATTTTTATTGATTTTTCACAGAGAGGAAGAGAGAGGGATAGAGAGTTAGAAACATCAATGAGAGAGAATCATCGATCAGCTGCCTCTTGCACACCCCCTACTGGGGATGTGCCCACAACCACAGTACATGCCCTTGACCAGAATCGAACCTGGGACCTTTCAGTCCGCAGGCCGACGCTCTATCCACTGAGCCAAACTGGTCCCGGCACAAATATATTTTAAAGAGTAAATGTTAGCAATGTTTCTGTATCTCATTAGAATTAAGTTATTGTAGTATAAATCTGGAACAGATTCTGATAAGATATATGATAAGCTCTAGAGCAAACATGTCAAACTAGCAGCCTACAACGAATATTTTGCAGCCAGCCAATAGAACCATTTTTGTGACTTAATTTTTATAATATCCTATTATACATAATCTATAATAATAAAAGCATAATATGCTAATTAGACCAGATAGCCAGATGTCCTTCCGGACAAAGCCCCTTGCACAAATTTCATGCATCTGGCCTCTAGTTATTAATAACGAACAACTATGTTCACTAATGACTGATGACTATAATCATGTTGCATTCATTTCCTTTATGTACCTCACATGCAGGTGCACCATTTCTCTCTACTAATATCAGCAGCAAATATTTTAGCAGCCACTTGTCACATCATTAGTCTTGGACTGACTTGTATTATGTGTGCAATGGGAAGTATTTTGTTTTCTAAGAATAACAAAAATAGGTTTATTTGTGTTACACTTATAATTTGTGCAGTTAATTCAGTGTCTGGTAAGTTAATGTTTAAAAAATATATATTAATTTTCATTAAAATGTTCTATTATGTTAACAGTTTCTCATTTATTGCAGCCCTTTGCATGTCTCTATCAAAACAAATCTATGTTTCTATGAAAATTGAAGCTTGTTTTTTTGCAACCCACATAAACTTAAACCTTGTTCATTTGGCAAAGCCTTTAGGTTTAACATGCTTGCTCTAGAGTAATTACTATGGAAATAACTAAAAAATATAGTGAAAATATCATAAAGGAAATTTAAATATTACATGCAAAAGAAAGTAGTAATAGATAAACAGGTGAACAAAAAGACATGAGACATAAAAAATTAAAACTGGAAGATATAAATACAACTTTTAATAATAATAATAATAATATTAAGTGACAAAAAATTAAATAATAATACCAAAAGGCAGAAACTGTCAGATCGGAATAAAGAAACAAGATCACAAGTATGTTGTCTGTAAGAGATGCTTCAGATTCGAAGATATAAATTCAAACTAAAAGGATGAAAAAAGTTGCTATTTGCATATGTCATGCAAACAGCAACTATAAGGAAGTAAAAGTGCTACACTAAATATCAGACAGGCTGGCCAGGAGGAGGGGTCGTGAGCAGCTGGCAGGCCAGCCTCACCCCCAATCGAGGTGGGGTGCAATTAGGGGTGAGGTTGGTCTGAGGAGGGGCATGGGCAATGGGCTAGTAGGCCCTACACCCTAGTCAAACTCCTGATCAAACTCCCAGTCAAAGGGACAATTTGCATATTAGCCTTTTATTATATAGGATTATCTATTATCTACTGTTATTTTCATTATATAACTTCCTGTGAAAGATGACACAAAAGATTCTTAAGGCTAGAATGCTTCTAATCCTGTCACAGAAGAAAAAGCAGCTCAAAGAAATAAAGAGCAGCTCAATTTTGCTACCAGTCTAAATATTCACTTTACTGATCCATGAAGAAGGGAAGGAAGGAAGGAAGGGAGGGAGGGAGGGAGGGAGGGAGGGAGGGGAGGGGAGGGGAGGGGAGGGGAGGGGAGGGGAGGGGAGGGGAGGGGAGAAGAGAGAAGTGAGGGGAAAGGAAGGAGGGAAGGGAGAGGGGTGAGGGAAGGAGAGAGGTGGGAAGGGAAGGGGAGGAAGGAAAAGAGAGGTGAGGAAAGGTAAGGTTGGAGAAGCCAGCCAGCCAGATAAAATCTGAAGTAGGAGAGCCAAAGTTCACAGTATAGTTAATATTAAACCATAAGTTTAAAAATATTCTAATACCATATATAAATTTTTATATATTGTTTTTCCTTTAATTGATAAAAAGTCTATCTGACAAATCAAGTCACCTTCTCAGATTTCTACCATATATAGAATACAATCACAAATATATAGAATATAAACATACATATCATATAAAAATATTGATTCCCACTTTATAAAAGAGAATGCTTTACACACCAAGCAACTCTCTAACTTAAAAGACAAAACTTTTATTTATAAACAAATTTCCAGAAATGCACTTATCTATATATGTAGATAAAAGCCTAAGAGACCATCACAACCAAATGGACAACCAAACAGATTGCATGGGGCAACCAGGTCGGCAGAGAGGACAGTGACGGGTGACCAGGCCAGCAAGGAGGGTAGTTGGGGGTGACCAGGCCAGCAGGAGTGTGAGTTAGGGGCAATCAGGCAGGCAGGCAGGTGAGCAGTTAAGAGCCAGTGGACCCAGATTGTGAGAGGGATATCCCTCAGGATTGGGCCTAAACCGGCAGTCGGACATCCCTTAAGGGGACCTGGATTGGAGCGGGTGCAGACTGGGTTGAGGGGACCCCCACTTCCCTCTGCACTAATTTCATGCACCAGACCTCTAGTTTATTTTATAAATTGAAATGTAGTCTTTAAAGATTTGTCTTCTTACCTGTTTAATTATATTCATATGCTGCTTCTCTGTTTCTGTTCTTTTTTTTAGTTCATCTCTTAAATTGTCTTTTTCTGAACATATATCTAAAATGAGTTCCTGATGCTTCTTATTTTCTTTAATTAACCTAAGTATGAAAAGGACAGTGTAAGTAAAACATAATTTAAAAAGGAGAGATGGATTATAATCTGTATGCAGATTAGGGTTAGATACTTATGACAAATAAATCAATATTCCTAAGAAATCCTTTTGTAAGACACATTACACTTTAGGGGGAAAAATTCTCTGGCCAATCAGGCTATTAACATTTTTCTAGAAATTTGATATTCCAAATCAAGTGAATATACTCAGAAAAAAAAAAAAACACTCTAAAGTTTATGTCTTTGGGCATCACAATTATGAAATTCATCCCTTCAGATGAGCAATCCTCAAGGAGGAGTAATTTTGCTCCTCCATGATTTGTCTGGAGACATTTTGGTTGCCACCACAGGGACTGCAATTGCTACTGGCTTCTTGATACTAAACATCTTACAAAGAATGACCTACCCGCAAATATCAATGGGGCTGAGGTTGAGAAATCTTGCTTTAGATTTTAAAAATACTTTAATGATATTTTAATAGTTATAGAAAAATAGTCAATGTAAAATAACAAAAGCTTAAGCAGACATTCAATTTTGAATCCCCTAAAAAGTATAAATAAAACCTTAAAAATTGCCGAAGCCAGTTTGGCTCAGCAGTAGAGCGTCAGTCTGCGGACTGAAAGGTCCCAGGTTCGATTCCGGCCAAGGGCATGTTCGTTGGTTGCAGGCACATCCCCAGTAGGGGATGTGCAAGAGGCAGCTGGTCGATGTTTCTCTCTCATCGACGTTTCTAGCTCTCTCTCTCTCTCTCCCCCTTCCTCACTGTAAAAAATCAATAAAATATATATATTTTTAAAAACCTTAAGAATTACCTGCAATAAGGTCAGATATCTAAGAAGGTTAACAGGTAATATTTTAGGATTATTAATAGCAATAGCTATTAATTAAAATTTATTGCACAATTACTACTTACTAAGTTTAGCTTTAATTGCATTTCATTTAACTTAAGCTTATGAAATTAGTTTATGAAATAATAATTATCTTTGTAATGAATTTTTTAAAAACCTGAAGCCTAGAATGCGTTCCAGTTCATTAGGCTAGTAAAGTGGTTGAACTGAGATATGAACCCAGCTGTAATTCTTTAGCCCAGGTCTTTACATCTACTTTGAAGATCTCTTGTTTCACTCAACAAATGCCTATTAGGGCACCTACTATGTGCCTATATTATTCTGCATGTTAGAAGTCAATTAGCAAACCATCCCTGCAAAAACACAAGGAGCTTATATTCTAAGGGAGAATATTAAAATAATCAATAGATGTATAATAAAATCCCTGGTAGTGATTAAGTCCTATTAATAAAACTAAAGGAAGGAAGGCTCTAGGACAGACAGTAGCTTGAGCTGTGATTTTTAGATAAGGTGGTCAGGCGAGGCCTTTCTAAGGACCACAGGACTACAGTGAGGAAGTAAATCATGCAACTATTTGGAAAAGAGAAAAATGTAATATTCATGAAAATTTAAGCCAAAGGAATTGAAAGGAAGTTTTGGAACTAACCTGAGTCATGAAGCATTTAATTGAGTTAAAAACACTATGTAACAAAAGATTAATCTAGATTTAAAATGACAATATCTGACATTTTTATAATGCCTACTATCACAAAACAATCTCATCAGGGAAGTATCACCCCCCTCATACAGAAGAACATTATGCTTTACATTCTTTCAAACCTGAAAAGTTTTAGTTGTCTTTATAAATATTTCTAGATTCTTAATATACTTACACCTTTAGACTTACATATTACTACATGTAAAACAGAAATTTTAAATCATATTCAAAATATTGACTTTATACATATGTTTATATATGCTTATATCTGACAGATATATAGTACTAGAGGCACGGTGCACAAATTCGTACACCAGTAGAGTCCTTCAGTCTGGCCTGTAGGTTCGGGCCAAAACCAGCTCTCCAACATTCCCCAAGGGGTCCCAGATTGCAAGAAGGTGCACCATCGCCGCCATGGAGGGTCATGGGAAGTTGGCCAGCAGGGGAGGGACCATGGGAAGGCTCCAGGGTGTGTCCCACTCGTCTCACTCAGTCCCAATCAGTCAGACCCCAGCAGCAAGCTAACCTACCGGTCAGAGCGTCTGCCCCTGATGGTCAGCGCCTGAGCGGCATTAGCATATTACACTTTGGTTGGTTGAACTGCTGACCAGATGACCGGACTCTTAGCATATTAGGCTTTTATTATACAGGATAGAGTTAGGCAAAAGTAGGTTTATAGTTGTAAATAAGAGAAACAGTCTATTTTTATATTAATTATTGTGTTATTTATAACTATAAACCTAATTTTGTCCACCCCATATAAAAACACTGATACATACCTATTATTTCTAAAATAATACAAATAAAAATACCACATTCTTAAAAAATAGACAAATTGAATAACCATCAGCATTTGCTTAATTATTTAGTAAATAGATATTTGTGGATAACTACAAAGCGTGTGGCTCTATTGTGGAATTAAAAGTGGACAAGATAATTTCCTTTAAAGAATGCCATCTTTAATTCCTGTGGAAAAAAATAACCTGAAAAAAATTAAAAACTTACTTCTTTATGGTGTGCTCCTGCTGCAAATACTTATCTTGCACACATTTTTCAGACATAATTAATGCATGTTCTCCCTTATTCATTCCATTTGGTACTCGGTGTTCTGAAAAATCCGTAGATAAGAGCTCAGATTCTATTTCTTCTAACAAATCCTCTGGTGTTGAAACATTCTTTATTTTTGAAATAAGTTTCTTGGTGCAGTCTGTATCATAGGGATTTCCTGAGTAAGTCTTTTGACTGGCTGCTTCTGTAAATGTGGAGGACCTTAATTCTGCCAATATTTGACTTACTGTCTGTTCAGTTCCATTTGTTTTCGAAACTTGCTTTGTAAAATCTCCACCAGGAAAATTAGCTATTTGCTCAGAATTTTCTGGGCATAGGTCTGTTTTAGAATCTTCACTTCCACCATGATCTGGCATATAGTTCTCCTGTGCTTCAATCTGATTACTGTTTTCATCAGGCTGACACGAAGTTTTACCAAAGTTTAATGACAATAGTTGGGATTCATTTTCTATGCTGCTGCTTTCATCGCCAGAAAACGAGTTGCTGGAGTCTTCCTTTAGTTCAGGTGTTTTCCCAACATTTTCACCAGAGGAAATGGAGGCGGTGTGCTCTGTCTCTGACATGCTGACTGGCACCAACTCGCTCTGCATTTCTTCAAATCTGTTCCTGATCTTCGTTTTACATCTAAGAAAGTCAAAACATTCAAAAAAAAAAAAAAAAAGCTTTTAAAAACCAAGACGCCCTATATACACAGAGTGGCTAGATTATTATGATCTCTGAACACTGAACGCATAATAATCTGGCCACTCAGAGAGAGAGAGTGTGTGTGTGTGTGTCTGTGTGTGTATGAATATATATATATATTTTTTAAAGGCCCGGTGCATAAATTCATGCATAGGTGGGGTCTGGCCAGTCTGGCCAGGGGGAGGGGACATGGGTGGTTGGCCGGCCTGTCTGCTGGTCCAACCCCTGGTTGAGGAGACAATTTGCATATTAGCCTTTTATTATATAGGATATACACTAAGTGGCCAGATTATTATGTGTTCAAAGATCATAATAATCTGGCCACTCAGTGTATTTGCACATATTCCATGATGTGGAATAAGTAAGACCACAAATTTTACTACTAAAAACTCTTAAAAGCCATTCCTTGAGAGAGAGAGAGAAAAGCAAGACTAGGACAGCCAATCCACATGTGCCACAACCAACAGGACAGTAGTTTCATACTCTTTCCTCCTTCAATTCAGTCATACACCACCACTTCAGGTGCAGTTTGGCACTCCTCAATCACCCCCATAAGATGCTGGATATGGAATAAGACCAGTAACTGGGAGCTTAGTGACAAAGATGGTTTAAAATTCCTTCAGCTCCACAAGAGAAAAATGAGTAGTACCTCAATAATCTATAGGAAAATAAGATAGCAATGACAACATCAGAAGAGAAATTACAAACCAAGATAATAAAACAAGACACGTGAACAGTGACAAAAACTTACTCAGAAGGAAAACTAAACAATAACAAAACAGTTACTATAGCCCAAACACCTAGAGCTGAGTTGAAAAAATTATGGTAAGGATCCCTGGCAGAGATTCATTTTTTATCCAGGCTGGGATCCAGGAAGTACCAGGGTGAATTCCAAACATGTTCATCAAGAATAAACCAGACTCAGCTCTCCCTCCCGAGAGCTGGCCACACCTTTCCTTCCTCCTCTTACTCAACAGGTGTACATCTCCCACACTCTAGGGGCGCCATGAGACTTGCAACCAGGAGAGTAATGGGCAGAGAGAGCTCACCCCAGGCTAATCCCGGAGCCTGCCTGTCTCCAAGGCCCCCCTTCCTCTGACTTCCCAGTGAGGGGGTAAGAAATAAGCCGAGGCAGAGTACTTTGGCTCACTTCTTCCACTTGCAGGAAAAAGTTTATATTTATTTCTCAGTGAGCCAAAGCAGCCCTGCCTACGCTCACTCCTGCTGTTTCTCCTATCCTAAGCCCTCCCCTGTTTCACTTTCCCCAGCTTTAATAAGAAAAAGGAAAAGAAAGAGAAGAAACAATATTCAGTGTAACTCGAGTGGAGGCACTGCCTACGTCATAAAAGCAATATTTACAAAATTCACTCAATATTGTTAGAATCCATTTTTTTGTTATTTATGAGGGTTACTATTCTAGCTATTTCTGGAAAATAATTCAATTTCAATCTTGATGATTTTGTCAAATATCAACAAAGCATATACATGGTAGATGAATTACTGGAGTCATATAAAGTTGGGTAAAATGTGGGCAAGTCATAGTTCTGACAGCAACTAGGAAAGAAATAATTACAGATGGAAGGTGAACTTATAAAAAAGAAAAATTAAATTATTGAGTAACAGAAAGGTTCATGTTCATTTTGGGCTATGATGGAGGTGGTGGTCAGAGGATGGTGAAAAAGGGTAAGAGAAGATAACTAGGTACAATGCTCATCAGAATGATATACAGGAGTGAATTTTGTTAAGGACAATAAATCATGATCGACTTGGACATACTTGATTAATCTATAGAGCTCTAGCATAGAGTAGGTTCTCAAGTATTTGATGAATTAAAACACAGAAGTGACGTTTGAGGAGCATTATTCTAGGAATGCAGAGAACAGGAAGAATAATTCTAAGAAAGCAAAAGAAGACCAGCTGGTTTGTCAAATACCCTGCTTTTCAGTATAGACTGTCCTTTGAGTATAGACAATATCAACTAATATTGACATTCGTCTTAATATTCTGAATTATAACATATTTCCAAACAGCCAAATAGAAATTACCATTATCTTGCTGCATATATGTTATAACTAAGACATAGCCTACACTAGTATTAAAGCTTCGTTTACTAGTAGATAATACAAATAAGCACAGTAAGTTGATAATTAAGACCTCACAAGTATGCTGTGTTCCAAAATCTAGGACAAAATAAAATCATTCTCAAACAGGGGCATTACTTTCCCCAAAGTAACTCACTTTAACTTGTGAATGTGTTGCTGTTGAATTTAAACTTTTAATTTTGAAATCTAAAAGCTAAGGAAGGAAGTGGTTCTAAGCAACGTAACTAGTCCATGTTGTATCAACTGAAGTAGAACTCAGAGCTGACCAAAATGTAATGGACAGCAGATGAAGAATCTATTTAAAAGAGAATAAGTCTATAAAAACATTGCAACTCTCCAGAACAGAGAGAGCAAGTGAGAAGAAACTCAATCATTTCAGCACTTCATGAATTTTTACTGTCAAGCTTTGTAAAAAAAAAAAAAAAAAAAAAAAAAAAAAAAAAAAGGAGAAAGAAAGAAAGAAAGAAGCACTAAACAAATACTGGCTCTTATCCCCTCTTCCAGCTTTCATATTCTCCAGGGTTTCAGTCCTCAACTTTATTTTCCCTCCCACAATTTACCTAATTCCATGCCTTGAGCCAACAACTCATAGTTATTGAGTTGTTCTTAAGTGACAGACAACAAGTTATCTATACCTTCATTTTCGCTCTATCTCTGTATCTATATTAAAATCTCCACCTGAATACAGGCAATTCCACTGAATGTTCCACCATAACCACATACTCAAATGGCTAAATCTAAAATCCAATGAATAGTTCCAATGATTGAGTATCCCTATTAATCTTTTTTGTCAATAGTATCATTTTTTAGTCATGACTCCTACATTTCCTTTGCCTTCTTACTCTTTTATCAATTTCATGTCTCCTACAATTAGACCCTCCTTTCTAGTGTCACTGTTTCCACATGCAAACCAATCCAACCCTGACCACTTCATATAAGAAACACTTGAATTGTTGGTTTCTCAATCTCACTCCATTCGTCCCTCCTGTTTTCCTTCCTGCAACTCTAAGTAGAGAAGCAAGGTTGATTAAAGGACAAGTGACTTGAGACAACACTAGGACAAGTGCCACTCAATCCAGAGACGGGGTGGAAGTTTGTCACATTAGCTCTGCAAAAAAAAAAAAAAAAAAAAAAAAAAAAAAGTGGGGGGGAGGGGCAGAAGGGCCCTATGAATTAGGTCCTCAATGGCAGAAGCTAAAACGTCGCCCCTAAAATACCCACACACATCACCTCCATTGAGCCCACCATCAAATGCAACCAGATGAATTAGAGTAAGGTCAGGGCTATCTCTTCCCTCTTTAGAGGTTTGGGTAATGAAAACTCTGCGCCCACTGACTGGTCTTCTCTCTACTCCAGAAGGGCTAGCTAGAGAAAGGAAAGGGAACATATGATATTTTAGAGCCAGATTATACCTCCTCCTCAATTCAAGCTGCTGGAAACCTTTCTTCAGGAAGAAAATGTAACTTTTTAAAAATTATTGAAACCTGTCCTGATTTCTGGAATGAGTTTTCTTTAGTAACCACAAGTTGCAGAAAAGTTATGACATCAAACCAAGATATTATTAAGGAATAGCACTTCAGAGGGAAGAGAAGGGAGATGGGGGCATTCTACACAGTATGACTGGAGACTCACTGAGGAAAAAACACACAAAACCATTTCATGTTCATATTTCAGAGTTGTGATTCCTCCAGTAAACCAGTTGTACAGCTTTTTCCATCTTATCTCCCAACACATTCCTAAAAGCCTAGTACTTCACTGTCCTCTGTTAGTCCCTGACTAGTCTACTCACGATTCCACCAACTGCACACTAACTTTCCCTGGCTGTTCCCATCCAAGAATATCCTTTCTTCTCTCTAGAGCCTAATTATATTTAAAGAACTGATTCTAACGCCACATCCTCCTCCAAATTTTCCCTCATCATAAGTAAAAAATTATCTCTCAGGAAAATGAAAACATACTGCATTTATACTCATCAAGCAGAGTCACGGCCTTCCTTGTGATATTCCTGCACTTTCAAGGAGGAGGAACTGAATCACTCATTCTGAAATGAATCAAACTTAAGTCTCAAACAACAGTAATAATAAGTAGGTAAATAAATCTAACCAAAGTGCCGTCTACTGCATTTACACTCATTCTTACAAATGCTATTCCGTGGTTCTCGATGAGAGTGGCACCCCCTGGGTTTACACAATAACCTGAGGAACTGAAGAGCATTTAGTTCCCATCCTGGATGGGATCCGGGTTGTAAGGAAACCCATGATGTGCAAGACAGCACAGAACCACCAAAATCTGTCTCATTCTGCTGGATGTTCATCTAGGTAGGTAAACAAACAAAAGTCCCTGATTTTATAATTTTCTCAGCTTAGACTATTTTGCTATTATCCTCCTGTAAGTTACAGACTGCTTAGTTTAACCTCAAAAGACAAGTACTGACTGGTCTTCTCTCTATAGCGTTGCTCAGTAATATGCCATGATCTTTGAAAAAGTCATCATATAACATGGTATCTGATAACCACTTAGCTTTCAAACTTCGTTTCCTGATGCTTAAATGGAGGCAAAAGGAAAAGGAGGTGTTCACAAAGATCCATGTGTATATACAATATGTGACAGCGCTATCACCAAGGATTAAATAATTATACAAGCATGGGGAGGGGAGTGGGACCATGGTGAGTTTGATTATGTCCATGATTCACCAGGGGAAAACATCTGGGTCTTCTTGTGGGCCTCCCGTTGGCAATGCTGATGTGGACCAATCGGTTTGCTGTCCCAGTTTCTTCGGGAGTTGGGGGAGGAAGTATGGCCATCAAAGCTACTGAGGATGGAATAATGTAGAAGTAG